GTGGGAGTGTGTGATATACTAGGCAGACAGTGCAGTTTACTGTGGGATTATGTGTTAAACGGGGGGTTACTTTGTTAGATTGCATGGAATTGTCGGTTTCTGATGTACACCTCTGAGAGACACTACTGTTACTGTTTCTCTTCCCTGTGCATTGACATTTTGAGGTTAATGCCTCTGAAGTTAGTCTTATTTTGGTGGTGCCAGAAGCCAAGCAATATATCTCACTGCTAGTGTTTGTTTTCTTTGTCGTTTTACAGGATACTGAGCAACAACAAGATTGCAATCCTCAAGACTGGTGCTTTCTCTGGACTTCAGGCCCTTGAGAAACTGTAAGTGCTATTTCTTATCTTGCTGTGGTTCCTCAGGCACTTGGTGCTTCTTCAGAGTGGAACTACTCCTATAGACTCGGTAGCAATGAGTAACAGTTCCTGTGTCAGCACACTCACCTTTTGCAGTGCCCCCCTCCACCGCCCCCCCACCTTACAGCCCAGACCCTGCCACACAGCGTCTGTGTCCCAGACAGACCTATTTGAAGAGGCTTCTATAAACTCGATGGTAATTGACAGGGGCAGGAAATCAGAGGCTCAGTAAATGGCTGGTCTGGGGACCTGGGAAATGGGGAACAGGAGACACAGTAACGTGGAGGCATGAGGGGCAGTGACAACAACAGGAAGGCATTCGGGAGTTCTGGGAAGGGTGGAGTCAAAGATGATTGGATCAGCCATCTTCTTACCAATACAGAGGGAGGAGGGAGCTGTTCCAATGGGATGGACACCACCTCAATCCTGCTGGGACCAGAGTCCTGGAGAATCGCATAACCAGGGCTAAGGATGGGGATTTCAGCGAAATGGGTGTGTGCTCCGGTTGGGAGTGGATCTCAAGAAATGGAGATGGAGCAGCTTGTGGTAGATTCCACTGGGGAACAGTCAATTCTGGATTTGGTGATGTGTAATGAGGCAGGCTTTATTGTGGAGCTCATTGTGAAGGAACCCCTTGGGGGACACTGACCATGAAATGATGCAATTCATGCTGCAGTTTGAGAGGGAGAAGTTGGAATCAGACGTTACAGTATTACAGTTGAGTAAAGCACACAAAAAGACATGAGGGAAAAGCTGGCCAGAGGTGATTAGAATGGGGTGGGGGGCCTAGCAGGGAAGATGGTGGAGGAGCAGTGGCAGGAGTTTCTGGGAATAATTCAGGAGGCACAGCAGACCTTGATCCCGAGGAAGAAGAACCGTACCAAGGGAAGGACGAGGGAAGTCAGGGACAGCAAAAAAGCAAAACACAATCATACAATGTGGTGAAGATTAGGGGGAAGCCAGAGGATTGGGAAGCCTTGAAAAACCAGCCAAGGATAACTGGAATAGCAATAAAGGGGGAGAAGATGGAATATGAGACAAAGCTAGCTGGAAATACTAAAATAAATTGCAAGTGTTTTTTTGGTTATTTAAAATGTTAGAGGCAAGAATGGGCATTGGACCACTGGTAAATGATGCTGGAAAAGTAGTAATGGGGAGCAAAGAAATGGTGGAGGAACTGAATTGATACTTTGGATCAGTTTTCACAGTGGAAGACACCAACAGCATACCGGAATTTGAAGAGAATCAGGGGCAGAGGTGAGTGTAGTGTCCATCACTAAAGAGAAGGTGCAAGGAAAGCTGAAAGGTCTGAAGACTGATAAATCACCCAGATTAGATGGACTATATCCCTGGATTTTGAAGGAAGTAGCTGAGATTGTGGAGGCATTGGTGGTGATCTTTCAGGAATTATTGGAGTCAGAGAGGGTCCCAGAGGACTGAAAAATGGCTAATGTGACACCCCGGTTAAAGAAGGGATGGAGGCAGGAGACAGGAAACTCCAGGCCGAAACTACGGCTAGGTCATTGATAAGATTTTAGAATCCATGATGAAGGATGAGATTGCAGAGTACTTGGAAGTGCACAGTAAAATAGTGCTGAGTCAGCATGCCTTCGCCACGCCTGACAAATCTGTTAGAATTCTTTGAGGAGGTAATGAGCAAGTTAGACAAAGGAGAGCCAGTGGATGTGATCGATTTGGATTTCCAAAAGACCTTTGACAAGCTGCTACACAGGACGCTCCTCAGTAAGATAATGGTATTATCTTACCCATGGTATTAAGGGCAAGGTACTGGCATGGATAGAAGGTTGGCTGACCGGCAGAAGGCAGAGAGTGGATAAAGGGATCTTTTCAGGATGACAGCCAGTGACACCCAGAGGGTTGTTAATCTATGGAATTCCTTGCCCAGTGAAGTAGTTGACGCTACTTCAGTAAACGCTTTTAAAAAAAAGGTAGATTTGTTTTGAACAATAAAGGAATTAAGGGATACGGTGAGAACGCGGGTGAGTGGATCTGAGTCCACAAAAGGATCAGCCATGATCTTATTGAATGGCGGAGCAGGCTCGAAGGGCCAGATGGCCTACTCCTGCTCCTAGTTCTTGTGTTCTTGACAAGTGGAGTTCTGCAGAGGTCTGTGTTGGGACCACAAATCTTCACGTTACACATTAATGATCTGGACAAAGGAACTGAGGGCACTATGTTTGCAGGTGACACAAAGATAGGTAGAGGAACAGGTAGTGTTGAAGAAGTGGGGAGGCTGCAGAAGGAGAGGCTAGGAGAGTGGGCAAAGAAATGGCAGATGGAATATAATGTGGCAAAGTGTGAGGTTATGCACTTTGGCAGGAGGGATAGAGGAGTAGGCTGTTTTCTAAATGGGGAAAAGCTTTGGAAATCTGATGTACAATGGGATTTGAGAGGCCTAGTTCAGCATCCTGTTAGGGTTAACATGCAGGTTCAGATGGCAGTTAGGAAGGCAAATGCAATGTTAGCATTCATTTCAAGAGGGCTAGAATACAAGAGCAGGGATGTCCTGCTAAGGCTGTATAAGGCTCCGGTCAGACCGCATTTGGAACATTGTGAGTAATTTTAGGCCCCAAATGTAGGGAAGGAGGTGCTGGCGTTGGAGAAGGTCCAGAGGATGTTTACAAGACCATGCTCCTGGGGATGAAGGGCTTGTCATATGAGGAGTGGTTGAGGATTCTGGGCCTGTACTGGATGGAGTTTAGAACAATGGAGGGGGGGATCTGATTGAAACTTACAGAATATGGATTGACCTGGATAGAGTGGATGTGGAGAAATGTTTCCACTAGTAAGAGAGAATGGGATCTGACGGTACAGCCTCAGTTTGAATGGATGACACCCTAGAACTGAGATGAGAAAGAATTTCTTCAGCCAGAGGGTAGTGAATCTGTGGAATTCACTGCCACAGAAAGCTGTGGAGGCCAGGTCATTGAGTACATTTAAGACAAAGATAGATAGGTTCCCGGTTGTCAGGGGATCAAAGGTTATGGCGAGAAAGCAGGAGAATGGGATCAAGAAACTTTGCAGCCATGATTGAATGGTCTAATTTCTGCTCCTATGTCTTATGGTCTCATTAGGTGTATTTAAGCCAGAGATAGATAGGTTCCTGATTAGTAGAGGGATCAAAGGGTTATGGGGAGAAGGCAGTAGAATGGGATCGAGAAATGTATCAGCCATGATTGAATGGTAGAGCAGACTCGATGGGCGGGATGGCCTAATTTCTGCTCCTGTGTCGTCTTCTCATGAAAAGTGTGTGGTCAGTCTCAAGCAGCAAGAGCAAGGGCAGATTTGGCCTCTGTGGGGCTGCCTTACTCCTGGCTCAATGGAAGAGACAGATGGCAGTATGCAGTAAGCACACTGTGCTCTCTCAGGCCCCCTGCTAATGTGTGTCTCTCTCCCTGTCTCCCTGTCTCCCCCCTGCACCCCCCCACCCCATTCACAGCTCTCATGTGTGCCCCCGCTGTGGGCTTCCACTTCAGTCAGCCCTGTCATCTTCCCCCTCTGATTCAACATGCAAACCACTTGCACAGCCACAGGAATTCTTTGCTACTTTGCCGTCGGGATTGGTGTGGGTACAAAGTGAGAGCTTCCCACAGATGAGGGATAAGCTGTTGGGGGAGGAGGGAGTGTGTACTGTCTGCTCATTTTTCCTGGGCTGCGATCTGAGCCCTCAGCGCTCACTCATCACATTCTCGCAAAGTGCTTCTGTACCCTGAGCAAGTCCAGTGCTTCGAGTCACCAATTGGATTTAGTTGCAGGTATCTGGGGCGGCAGGGCAGTGTGACTGAGAGCCCAGTTAGATCCCAAACAGGGTGAAGATTGTGAGACGTGTCAGGTCCCCAGTGCCTGGGCTGTGGGGTCTGGCAGCTTGGAGCAGGCACTCACAGGATGCAGGCTTTGGGAATCAGTCCCAGTGGAGTTGGCAAACTTCCTGGAGAAGCTGCAGAATGTGCTGCTAACCTTGGGAAAGATCTCCTTGAACTATCTGTGTCACACAGGCTCTAGGAATGCCTGAGAGAAAAATATATCTAAAAAAGGCAGGCTCCCGCTGAGGCAGACCACATTGTAACTAGGTTCTTTAATCAGGAGTTACAAACTCCTGACCTAGCTCTCTCTCACCTTCCACAGCAGTCAGGCACTGTGGCAAAAGCTAACTTTTAAAAACCAGCCTGTCTTTGTGTAACAACGCCAAGGGCAGATAAATTATTTCCCAAGTGACTTGAAAAGGTTCAGAAAACATTAACAAAGCTATTGCTCGGGTTATAAAACCCAAAAGGACTGCACATGTTGTAAATCAGGAACAAAAACAGAAATTGCTGGAAAAACTCAGCAGGTCTGGCAGCATCTGTGAAGCAAAAATCAGATTTAACATTTTGGGTCCAGTGACCCTTCCTCAGAAATAGAGTTACAGATGTTTATAAAATCATGGGGGACATGGACAGGGTGAATAGCCAAGGTCTTTTTGCCTAGGGTGGGACAGTCCAAAACCAGAGGGAATAGGGTTGAAGTGAGAGGAGAAAGATTTAAAAGGGAACTAAAGGGCAACTTTTTCTGGGCAACCAGAGGGTGGTGTGTGTATGGAATGAGCTGCCAGAGGAAGTGGTGGAGGCTGGTACAATTACAACATTTAAAAGGCATCTGGATGGGTACGTGAATAGGAAGGGTTTAGAGGGATATGGACCAAATGCTGGCAAATGGGACCAGATTAATTTAGGATATCTGGTTGGCATGGACGAGTTGGATTAAGGGTCTTTTTCTGTGCTGTATGTCTCTATAACTCTATGACTCTGTGTAAATCCCTCCTGGGATGTAGGAACTCTGACAGGCCATTTGTAGACAATAGGTGTTTGTCATTTCTCCTGCCCAGTGATCTGCTGTCACAGTATCTTCTGCTCATCCCCATTCTCTCACGGTGACTTTCTCTGTTCTACAAACTCCCAGTGACATCCATC